CTCCCCTCCTTCATGAGCCTTTGATAATTTAGAAATTATTATTTTGTCATATCTTGTCCTGTCTGACGTCTCCCTTCACCCACTTTTCTGTTGTCCATCCCCCAGGGAAGAGGTTACATGTAGGTCCTTTTAATCGGTTCCCCCTTTCCAACCCACTCCCTTTATGCTTCCAGTATCACCATTCACACCACTAACTTTCTCAAATTGTATCCTCCCTTTTGAGTTGATGTTTTGAACCCCAATGCATACCCAATACACAGTGAACTTTTTTGATATATTGTTGATTGAATGACTAATTTTTCTAGCTTCCTCCATATTAATGTTGGCCAAATTCCTTTTGATAGAATTCAATACATATCTACCATCTTATCTATCTTATTCTGAATGTTTCATTATAATGGATAATATTACAGAATATTCACTTGATGTCTTCAACTCTCAATAGGCTATATTTTCTTAAACTATTTTGAAATTTTGCCCTATAAAATGTTCACTAGGGAAACCTAGCATCTATTCTCCTCTAATTATCCTCACTTCCTATGCCTTCCTGGCTCCGTAACTTGAAGACTTATAGGGAAAGGGTGGTGAGAAATGGCAAGAGTGTGGGGAGTCACAGGAAGTAAAGACATCTCATCAAGTCTAGAGAAGAATGAGTTTAAAACATGGACTCAACAAAAAAGTGATGATAGAAAACCTAACCTTGAGACTTTAGGTATTAAAAGAGAACATTTGTGTCTAGGCAATATTTGAAATATGAATTAAAGCCAAGGGTATTTTTAACACTTGGCTCCTGGCAAACAACATCTAACAGTTGTTCTACAATTTGAAAGTCAAATGGTTTTGTTAAAAAATGAAGATTGCTTGGCTCATAACTTGTTGTACTGGTACATTAACCTTTATTATAGACTTAGCTCTCCTCTCTTCTACTATGATTTGCTAAAGACTTCATAGAGATCTCTGTAGAAATAAAATTTTAAAGTATGGAAATTAAGTTTTCAAAATTCAGAAATGTAACTTGAGCAGCAAGCATACAGTCCCAAATTAAATGGCGTGTGGCTATTCATTGTTTGTGGAGTACATTAGGGGTTATGTTAAGTTATGGTCTGTTATGCTAAGGTATCATGTCAAGTGTATTATGTTAAATTTTGAGGGCATATGGAATCTTTAACTTGATCTTTAAAACAACAGAATTTTGATTAATGTCAATAAAGTCACTGAGTTAAAAATATTCTATATTCCAGCATATCTCACTCAGGGTCATCAAGAAACAAAATTGTATTTCCTAGGATTATATACATGAATACTAATTTATGAATTTTAATGTATTATTCTACCAGAGGACCCTAGTAGAATGTGAACAATTTGGACATCTGTTGACTTGTTCTTAGAGTTAAAATGGACACAATACACATCTCATGAGGTGAAATAAAAATTTTAATATGTTCACATTAAAACCCTATTTCTGTATATGGCTATTAAGATGTTTTACATGAAAATCAAGTTATCTGAATGAACAGAAATATTTGCTCCTTCTCCCATCTCTTTTCCTCACTCTGGCACATAGTAGCTAGTACTTTTAATGGTACAATTAACTTTCGCCAACAAATACATAAGTCTTTGCTCCCACTCCCCAAACACCCTACAGCAAGGAAAGGAAAAGAAGTGGCGAGTCCACAGGACAGTGTACAGCTGTCGCCCTGTCTCTGCGAGGATCACGGTAGAGGTGGAACCACATGCCACAGCAAACCTTCTTGCAGCCGGAAGAGCTCTCTTTATACTTGTGGCCGCTTCATGAACCTTCGAATCCAGTGCTCCAGGAAGGCAGCCTCTCCCGTGGTCTCCCTGACCTGACAACAGTGAATCGCTTAGCTGAGATGGGCGTCTGAAACGGATTTCAGTCCCCTAGGTGAGAGAAGGAGGCACAGTGTCCTCAGTGAGAAATGTCAGAGGACAATAATCCCAATTGTCTTCAAGTAGATTCCGACTCAGGTGTGGCGGAGTGGAACTGTCCTCCATACGGGATTCATTGGCTGATTTTGTCAGTGATAGACCTCCAGGTCTTTTTTGTTAAGGTACGTCTGGAGAGTCTTGAACTTCCACATTTCAGTTAGCAGTTAAGTACGCTAAGTATTTGCATTACCCAGAGAGTCCCAGAGGAAATGATATTTAATTAAAAGTCCCGTGGGGAAACAGCCATACATAGATTTCACAATAGCAACAACAACAAAAACCAAACTCGACCGGAAACTGATGGAGTGAAAGGTGGTAGATAGGAAGCTTTCAGCATGAAGTTCTCAGAAATCACCCACTCTTAGCATTTCAAATAGTTGGGTGCATTTGTATAAGTAAGTCTGCAACATTATTCAGCTTTTAAAACTACAATTGAGGACTAAATAATGGAATGGTTTTGTTCAAAAACAATATTTATTTTTCATGATAATAAGAGGCATATTACATTTGCTACAGAGAATGTTATTGAAGAAAAAAGCTTCCTGTTACCAACATGGCCAATAATAATAATAATAGAATCTACTTATGAAAGTTTTCTGCTCTACAAGAATATATTGAGTGAAAGACATTATCCCAGGAGAGTGAACCATGTAGAAATGTGGATTCATTAGGGTTTATTTTGAAATGTAATTTGTACAGTAAGCTTTTCATTCCTTTAATGGCAATAAAGGAGATTTATTGACTACAAGTTGGAAGTACAATGGAGATAGATGACCAAGGAAGAACTTTTAACAAAGGACCCCCCTCCCAAAAAAAAGAGTAAGAAAAGTGAATGAATATACTTGCTTATATTGCCCCTAATAAATAAAAAGTACAGAAAAGACATTAACTGAAAGCCATCCTGGTGATTGTAGCCAGGAAGTTTATTGAAACTTGGATCCAACTATTAGTTTTTATATGTATAGTGGTGGTGTGAGCTATCCACACTAACGATGTAACTCCCGTTGTGATTGTGGCACAGGAAACCGATGCTCTCATGGGAATCTTGTAAGAGGCTGTGAAAGTGAGTAGCGTCTGATTACTAGACTGTCTATCTGGACTATTTCTGATTTTACAGTTTCTGATTTGCTCTGGAATTTGTAGCGCATTTAATTTTACCAAAACCCTCATGATATGAAAACATTGCATGTATCTTCAATGATCATTGAATGTTCATCTCAGAGCTCTGGGAAGGAATGGGGTTCTAAGGATAATTGAGAACTGGGTCCTGAAAGCACCAGGCTTAGGAATCTAACTGCACGGAGGTCACTCATCTGACACTGGGACTTTCTCAGTCGTGTCACATGGTTGTTGTCAGTAAGGTCTGACATCAGAAGAGACCGGCTGTGTTTGTCTCTCAAGGCAGGAAGAAAAATGTAGCCCTCCTTTAGAAGCCCCCCAGTAATCTTGATTTCAGAGTTGCTCCCTTAAAGACCTTGCTTTAGAGAATGATGAATCACTTCCTACGCCTGGATTCAGTGTTCTTTAAAATAGACATGCGGGAACCAGGGAGGAAATTTTCCTATAAATACCCCTAACAGCCTCTACACGCACCGTTCTCTTGTGGCGGAGCAGGGTTGAAGCTGTGGTCTCTAGAACAAACTCCATGGGTTTGGAAAGGACCTGATATCATTTGGTTCAGAAACAAGAATTTAGAACGGTGAGTGAATATATCATTAGGGATTGACATTACTAAAATCTGGTTGTTTCATTAATACACAAGAGTTTTTAACCTATAAATAATCTACAATGGCATGGCAAGCATAAATGCCATTTTAAATCCATGTTCACGTATGGAAGAGACACACACAAAAGCAAAGTACCTCAAAGGAATTAGCAGAAGATGGAGAGTGAACACATGACCAAATAGGGGTCCTCTGAATTAGGCCATCCCTTGTCCAGTTACAGTAACACTTCATTGCTCACCTTTTAAAAAAAATACTTTCAATGGCCCAATCTTCCAATGAATACTATTTGGGAAGTAAAGTCCCCACCAGGCTCTTGAAATATTTGTTCTTGTAGGGGAAATTTGGGAAAGAAAAAAGTTCAAAATTCTGTTCCAGCTTACAAATGACCTCCTGTAGGATTATAATAATAAATCACTTTTTGAGATATGTGCCAATTAATTGGTATGCCTCAGCAAAATGAATAAAAAAGAAGACAATGACTTAATTCCTATAACACTTATATTACTGTCATGTGGTTTGGGAGACAAGTAATTATTGGATACACAAATACATGTGTAGTGCATCTCATGGAGCGGGGGGCTTGAGTTTTTTTGTATGATTTTCCCCCCATTTTATTTGTGATCAATTGAGATGTATACATAAAAACAACTTATCTTTTATTTTTACTATATGAGGTGCTTTCTTTAAAAGTGTGAGAACTGAAACTGTTTAGCCATTCAAAATCAAAATATAAACCAATCAAATTCATCTTCAGGCATTTTTAAAAAAGGCTTCAAATATTTGAGACATCCCTTATTTTGTCAAAGGATCCAAGGAACAATATATAAGCTCTGGCTATATATACTGGATAAACCATTTGATTTACCTATTTACATGTATGATGGGGTTTCAAAATGTTATTGGAAAAAATTCCATTATCTTTTACTTTCATTTTTCCATAAATTTTTGAAGCCTTCTTGCAGAAACAAGTGTCTATATTTTAAGTGAGTGTATGCTCCGACACTATTAGTATTTGCAATCCTATACGCTTGACTATAGACGTTGCTAGTTGATGATGCATCTTCCTACTTTACATAACACTAACAAAGCTAGGCTGAAACTCAGCAACCACTTGCATTCACTGCAAGACTGGCTAGTTGTAAGTTCAGGTGTTGGTGGCGAAGGGCCATCTTACCACACCCTGCTTAGACTATAGGTTCCTTCTGGTTTAATTTACGTCTATGTCCGTTGTTCCTTCATCGAGGTGGTCTGGAGCCGCAGATACAATCGCATCGCTCATGGTGATCCAGTTGAATGTCAACAAAAGCCATGCTCTTGGCTCTGCCCTTCCTCTTGAAAGGGCCAGGCTCAAACTTCAATACCTAGGACAAGAAACACATTTCCTGTTAGAGAGCTCTTTAGAGTTAGAGTTTAGAGTTAGAGTTTAGCTCAACCTTCCTCTTTTTAAGGCAAATAAATGGTTCTTCAGCCTTTGAGGATCTGACCAAAGCTATCGCATCTCTGACTATGAACATGCACACATTTAAAAAACCATCTTTGATTTCCTGATGTGAAGGTTTCCACTGTTTGCAAGAATAATGTTACCTGCCCCAAGAAAGACTTTCATGAATGCAGCAGGTATTTTCTATACTTTTCCATGGGTCTTCTCATGCCAGGTCCTATCCCAATTACTATCAGAAAGATTCTTCTGACCGCGGCCTGCGTTACAATGAATACAATCCGAGCTTCTTGTGAAGACAATGAATAAGTTGTGGGCAAACTATGGCTAAATCTTTCACGGAAGTAAAAAAAAAAAAAAATGCCCCAATGAGGGTTATTTGTAGCCACAAATAAATGAAAATATTATTATGCTCTTTCATATTAAGATACAATAGAATTAATACTTCAAATCTGATTCAGGCTCCACATTTTTCTTTATACATTGACACCTGTATATCAATAAATTTTTAAAATTTACCAAGAATATTCTTAACTACTTAAATTAATACATTTAAACAGAATCTCTTAAAACATTAAGTTTTAAAAGAAGCTAACTTTTCATTCCTGCAATAACATTATTAGATTTACCTGGTAAACGATCCATTTTTTTCCCCCCACATAAACTTTATAATTGGAAAACTGCTTCTTTTCTTTATGTTCCTAGGGACCTGTTACCTTTTGGGTTTTGTCTTATTTTTTCTTTCACATTATAAACTCTGCAGTGGCACCACCAAACAGTTCTGTAGCACTTCCCAGCCCGAGGCATTTGTACAGACCCTGTTTTATTGGTCCTCGGTGGTTGTGGCGGGGGCGAAGGGGACGTGTCTTCGTGTCAGTGCTACTGTAACAGAAACACCACCAGTGAATGGCTGTAACACACACGGTTTGCTCTCTTCCACTTGAGAAGGACTGAAAGCTAAATTCAGGGTAATCATTCTAGGGGAAGGCTTTCTTTCTTTGATAACTTAGTTTAGAAGCAAGGTCCTGTGTTTGTTTTTGAGTTTCTGTGGGCTCAGCACTCCTTGAAGACCCCAATCTCTTTTCACATCTTATTCTGGGTCCAGGAGGTGGCCAGCTCCAAGACCACCGTAGGGTTTAGGGGTAAAGCTCTACTCCCAGCGCTTTTGTCTTGGCGCTAATAGGTCCTTCTCTCTCTGCTTACTTCTCCCTTCTTTTATCTCTGGTCAGGTGATGCAGGGAAGCTCCTTTTACATTGCATCAGGGATCAGGTCTGTAACACTATTAAGAGTGTGTCATCCACCCTAATCCATTTACAATTGATTGACTACAACAGATCACATTATACAGATTATTGTGTAATGACACAAACGCCAAATCACTGATGATCACACGCCATGAAGGTTAACACATTTTTTTTGGGTGGGGGGGGGGCACAGTTTAATCTGTAACACCTCATCGGTCACAAAGTGAAGGCACCACTATTCCCATTTCATAGATTACAGAATTGTGATTCTGAAAGAGGCTGTCTTACCTAGGTAGGACCTTTCAATAAATTTGACCTAACACCAGACCTGTGCTCTCTAACACTCCGGGACCCCGTGCCTCTCTCATGTGTCTACAGTTGTTTTCTATAATGTATTTTGATGGTAGCGAAGTTCAGTGCTCTGCTGTTACCTAGTAAATTGGCTTTGTGAATCCACCAGCTGGCCCCCGGGAGAAAGGCCTGGCCATCAGCTCTGTGAAGATGACAGCCCCGAAAACTGCGAGGCGGTTCTGGTGCTTCACAGGGGTCATCATGAGCAGAAATGGACTTGATGGCCCATGACAACAACTGCTTCGCTCTCTCACCGGTATGTGTATGTGTGAGCTGACGGGGAGCCTGCTATGCTTTGCTCGTGATATTTGGAGAGGCGTTAAATCAGGAAACTATTGCTTTAGCTTTGGTAGAATTCTGAAAGTTGGTGTTAGGTACCATCCAGCCAGTTGTAACGGACAGCAAGGACCTAACACATCTCAGTAATCAGGTGGGACCGGTCCTTGGAGAAGGACATCATGCTTGGGAGGGTGGAGGGTCTGTGGACAAGAGGAAGCCCCTCCATGAGAGAGATTGACACAGTGCTTGTAAGAGTGGGCTCAAGCACAGACCGTACGGCATCCCCACTGTTCTGCACCCTACGTTGGATTGGCCGCAATTTCCTCATCTTTACATTACCCATTTAAAAGTTATGAGCACACAAAAGCATCAACGAGGAAAACTAGCCCCTAGCGGCCTCAGCACTCCTCCATCCTAGTCTGTGGACCCCTTTCTGGGAGCATGTGAGCTGCTGTTCCCCGGGTGGTCCAAGGAGGGAGAGAAGGAATCACTATCTACGCTCAATGGTCAGTCCAGCTGGGGACCCTGGCCTCTGCTAGCACCGAATTCTGGTGCAGAACATACACTCCATTGGCAGCAGAGCCTGCCAAGCATAATTTTGAGCAAAGAACAAAATGGGGTTGGGGCAGGAGGGGTAAAGGAGGAGATCCTAAGAGAGTTCATGAGACATCAAGATTCAAAAATATCTGATACAAGTACATCTTGTCCAAACATCAATTTTATAGTTAATTCAACTGTTATATTTTCTCCTAAAATCCCTCTCCATTTACAATCTGTATCATACAATTCTACATGCTTTTCTATGTATTACCCTTAGGAACTGGATTCTGAGCACTTTGGAAGCAAGGATAACCATTGGCATGTGTGGATGTCTAAAGAGCAACACATCGTAGTGCCGGTAGTGTAGTGGTTATGCACTGAGCGGTGATCTGCAGGGACAGCTAGTCAAACCCCCCAAGAGCTCCATGGGAAAGAGACCAGACTTTCTACTCCTCTCAGAAACTCACAGGGGGTCGCTATGCATCAGTATTTGACTCGATGACAGTGAGTTTGATTTTGTTTGTCGGTAGCAACCCTCTGAAAGAGGTATTTCTCGAACCCCTCTGTTGTTACCTGCTCTCTAGTGGGCTCTCTCCTCATGGGCACTCCGTTCCCAACAGAATGCCATTCTGCCCAGTCCTGCATGGCCTCCACGAGCGCTGTCGATGGGGTGGCTGCGATCCACAAGGCTTTCGGGGGTTGATTCACAGAAGCAGGCAGTCTGACTTAGTCTGCAGGGCCGGGTCAAACCCTTTCCACGTCATCGGAACATGCAAGCCTCCACTGACCAATGGGTGCGACTCAGAAGCATATGGTGCTTTGGCAGAGAATTGGACCTAGGATTTCCATGAACCCCAATCTGAACATATCAAGTTAATTCTGACTCATGGGCACCTTTCATAGGGTTTCCAAGACAGTACATTTTGAGGGGAACAGGGTGGCCTCATTTTTCTACTGTGGAGTGGTTGGTGATTTTGAACTGCCACCCTTGTGGTTAGCAGCCCCAAACTTATCCCACAATGCAGCACAGCCATCTTCAGTCTCCCATATAGAAGGCGAGAATGCTACCACTGAATGACAACTTCCCTAAACCCTTCCTTTATGGGTGGGGAGAGAAAGTGACACTTGCCCAAAGTCACAAAACTAGCAAGGAGTAGAATCAGAATTTGACTACACATGGTCTGGCTCCTACCCTTCCCAGAAAATATTTTGTCTGTATTGCTCAGCAGTATGGTGGGGGCATTGCAGGTGCTAAAGATACACACCTGGATGAACACAGTGGACGATGCTACAGACATAGAGTTGATCCGAAGGGAATGGCTTCCTACCCTCTCCTTCTGTATCTTCAGGAGTCCTGGTGGCACAGTGGTGAAGAGCTGGGCTACAATCCACAAGGTCAACAGTTTGAAACCACCAGCCACTCCATGGGAGAAAGATGGAGCTTTCTACTCCCTTAAAGAGTTGATCTTTAAACTCAGAGGGCCAGGTATACCCTGTCCTAAAGGGTCTCTCAGATGGCAGAGATTCCAGAGCAGCATTTTTTGTGTGTGTGTGTCCCTTCTAGCCCCACCCCAACAAGCTAAGAGGAGCGGAACAAAGTCATCTCTTTTGTTTTTACCCTTTCACCATTTTGATAAAAAGGTCAAGTAGAAAGAAAATGTTTTGAAAATGATGATGGCAACATATGTACAAATGTGCTTGATACAATTCATGTATGGATTGTTTTAAGAGCTGTAAGTGCCTCCAATAAAACGATTTATATATATTTTTAAAAAAAAGGTCAAGTATGGAGAGCAGAGTTTTGATGGCATTTGTTTTTCCTGTACCTGCCAAGCTCCCATTGCCCTCAATCCTTTCTTCAAAAATGGGGAAAGAGAGAGGCTAAATTCTTTCCCACACATCATCTATAAAGAACAAAAGACATTACTTCTTCATGTAAAAATAAGTAGTCAAAACAATGGATAAGGAGCGTGTTATATTTTGGGGTATGAAATAGCACATCCTATAGCACATGAAAACAACCCTGTGTTCCCATCTTGGATCACAGAAGTTATTGAGGGACCAGTACCCTGCTTGTTTGCCAAGAAATTTCCCAATATTAACCAGTTGCTCCTGTCTCAGATCCTTCCACCTGTTAGCTAGACTTGGGAGTTAGGGATGCAGGGAAGGGAAATGACACCTGTGAAGCTGCACACGTGATAACTGTCATCTGCTTGAAGACCGTTATCACAGCCTCCTACTTTGTGATGACAGGATCCTGTAAGGTCAGCAACCTGTCAATTTGTTTCTCATTTGATGGCAAGCAACAATGTGTGCTTTGGGATGAAAGCACAAATCCGGGCAGTTTTTCTAACCAGCTTCTAGATCGTTCAGGGATTTTCCTTGTGTTTTATATTAAGCAATGTGAGCACACTATATATGTGTTTTGCTGATAAGAAGAGAGAAGTGAATTGGCAGACACTTTCCCAGACAAGGCAGGAAAGCTCTACTTGAACACAGTGACCATTG